CCATGCACTTCGATTACCCAGCTCTGCCCGTGGCCCCTCTCCAGGCTTTCCAATGATCCATGGCCAAGATGCTCAGATCTTTATCTTTGTGTTTTTCTCTCTAGCAGGTGAGAATGCAGTGGTCCTGAAGGCTGGAGAGAAAGGAGGCAAGAAAGGGCTTGTACAGAGCAAGCTTGCTCAGGGTGAGCTTGATCAGGGCGAACTTGTTCCAAGCAAGCCTGCTCAAAAAGATCTTGCTCAGTCCGATCTTGCTCAGGAAGCCACAGGTGTGGTAGAGGAGGGAGAAAACAAAAACAAAGAAGAAATGGAAGGAGCACATGCTGGCGATGGTAGTTCTGGCCCCATGGACAAGGGGATCCAGGCAGAAGGTGGCCATGGCAGCAGTGTTCAACAGCAACCTCAGCAAGAGGTGGCAATGCCTGAGGGCACCAAGAGTCTCCAGGCTGGGGATTTCCAGAGCCACACCAGATTCACCAAGTCTCAGCTGCAGGACCTGGAGCGTCTTTTCGAAGAGAATCACTTCCCCAGCTTTCAAGTAACGTAAGCAGAACACCCTGCTAGGCGCCTGGTTTTCAGGTAGTGCATCCAGGCTGTCCTTTGGTGCTCCCTGAACCCCTGATTTTCTCTAGAAACAAAGCAAGCATGTCTGGACCCTCCAGCAGAAATTGGATTCTGGAGTAAGGCATGTGCCATAGTCCAACTGAAAAGATTGTGTTTTGTTGCCTGTTAAAGTGGCGTATGAGTTGTAAATTAAGACAGTGCTTGTTCTAAATGAGTCTCTGTAAGAATGAGTGAGGACTGTCAGCTGCCACCATGATAAGAAGCATGTGAAGACACCAGTAAGCCACGAGCCACATGGCAAGGTTTTTAGATTACAGGAGTTGTCTTTGAAGAAAGAATGGCTCCTTTTTTTCCCTGGCTCTTGTAAAGCCTTCAGGGAAAGCACCAGAGCTGGCTCTGCACCATGGGACTCACAACCATCAGAGAAGTTGTTTCTCATGATCCGCCGCCACAAGACCACCATCTTCACAGAAGCCAAGGAGTCAAGTACCGTGTTCCAGCTAAAGCATGTTGTCCAAGGCATCCTCCAGCGGCCTCCAGAAGAGCAGCGGCTGTACAAGGATGACCAGCTCCTTGATGACAGAAAAACTCTGGGCAACTGTGGGTTCACTAGCCAGACAGCTTGGATACAGGCCCCAGCCACAGTGGGCCTGGCCTTCCAAGCAGATGATGCCTTTGAAGCCCTGCACATTGAGCCCTTCTCCAGCACTCTGGAGCTTCCAGATGTGATGAAGCCATAGGATTCTGGAGGCAGAGCCAATTAACAAGCTGTGCAGTGAGGGCCCCAGGCCTAGAGACCGATTCCCTCAATGAAGACGATTTGGCTGTCAAAAAAAAAAAGGTTACTTAAATTACAAAATATTTAATAGATGGCTACATCGTTAGATTAGCAACATTCAATAACACACTATAACATTAACAAAATAACAAATTGTATCCTGTCTTTACTACTAAAACTTCAATTTTTAATTTTTATTTTTGTACAACATAACAAACTTAAAATAACAATGTAAACAGAATTAGGATGGATTAAAAATATAAAAATAAATTAAATTGAAAAGATTTTTAAAATATTTCTACTAAATGATACTAAGGC